TTTTAACACTTTTTTTTTTTGGCCATCCAGTCTCTCTAGGCTTTATACTCTTTTTCCCAATTTCCTCTCATCTGGAAACCCACCGGCGATGCCCCTTCAGCGGTAGAGAAGCTGCTCTGAATCTCGAGCTCTCCCCCCCCCCCCGCGCTTCTTTTGTTGCTTCCTTTCTTTAAAAGAGATCTGAACAATGACTTGCTGCTGAATGACTTCCAAAGACCAATTTCAGCATTCTTCAAGTCAGTTGCTCTGTACTTCCTGTTGCTCAATATATCCCACATAATATTAGCCCTTTTCTTCGTGAATCATTGCAGCCTTTGATACAAGCTACCAAGTCACTTTCTGTTACTCATAAGGCCTAGATTGGCATTTTGCGAGTCAATTGTGGTCATCACCCCATGTACCTTTTTCAGTAACATGATCCTTGGAATTAAAAAAGTTCGGTGTGTGTGTGTGTGTGTGTGTGTGTGTGTGAAAGAATACATGGCATATACATTCTTTTTCTTAACAGTTAAATTCCTAATGCTGAGTAACTCTGACGGTTGGGGAAATATTCCAGAATTTTCAGCTAGTACAAAAAACCTGGGGTATAGGACTTCCAAAGTCCTTTGATCAGTGCTTTGTTCTAAGAGGAACATGTTTAACTTCTTTTTGAGTTTTGGAAAACAATCATTGTACGAAGCCGTAATGGAGCTTGTGGAAATATTGACATGCTGTCAGGACAATGAGTTAGCTTCAGAGAGGTGTCCCAGATTTTAAGGACGTCTTCCAGAGTGTCTTAACATTGTCTTCTGAGATATATTTTAGGATGAGTTCCAAGATATCCAAATCCTCATTAAAGCTGGCTTGCTTACGGCTTAGACTGCTGTGTGTCCTCAGCCAATGGCTTCATACAAAATGCATCACGGTTAAGTAATCCATTATTTGGTGTGATGGGTAGTTCTTAATTAAAATTAACATCCTTTTTGTTGGAAATCAGGGAAGAATGAAAGCTAATTTTGAGTCCTGTTGTGGGAGAATCCCACAGTAATGGTTTCACGGATCCTTTAGCCTTAAATATTAATTTTCTTCGGCTTTAGATGTAATTCACTCTTGATCCGGGGGACAGTGAAGCTGCTGTTACTAGAAAATGATGGGATCATATATTGGATTAAGCCATTAGTTACTACAAGTAAGCTTGCTTGAGCCAACTCTAGTTGGCTGGAATAGCATACCATCAAATGATGGTTTCCTGGATGATCCCATACAAAGGACTTGGTGGCTTAGCACATGTTGCGAACCAGACAAAAACCGCTCCCCCCTCCCCCCCCCAAGATCTTGATGAGTCTTGAAAGGGAACAGAATCCTTTGCCATCAGGAGCACTCAAGATCTCGGAAGCCAGCCAGCCTGAAGTTCAAATAGAAAGGAGGTCTTCAAATAGAAGCCTCTCTCGGCTCCTGGAAAAGGTGCTGGGGTGAGCAGCAGACCATAACGATAACAGAGAGCCCGATGGACAGATCAAATCTGTCTGCCATTCAGTTCTTGGCAAGATGACCAAGCATGAAAACGCTAGTGGAGAATTTGCCCTCTGTTAAAGCCACCCATGCTCTTATCTTTAAGCCACTCTCACACAGATTGCGTCTCCTGATTTTGAAGAGCAGCTCCTTAGATTGCCACGTAGGTTCTCCTTAGGAAGGGATGATTTATTAACGAGGAATGCAGTGGTGGTGTTCCTGTCGGCCTTATTCTAACCCAGATGGGATTTATTTACAGCGTGTTAATTTGTTTTGAAAACAAAAAGCGAAGGGCCTAATCTGATCTGCAAAATTGGTTTGAAAGCAGCCAGCTACTTGAAAAGCGCAGGTGAGGCAATTACTTCCTGGTAATCGAATTGGCTCCTCAAGGTGCGCTCAAGTGAGTCAGCGGACATTTTGGAATTGCGCAATCGAGCGGGGAAATCACCCACGGAATAAACGCAGGGCGAAAATTGAAAGTTGATGTGCAGAAAATGCCACCGAATCGTCCCTGTAACTTCATCGAGTTTTCTAATCTCTCTTGCAGGTGTTGGCTTGGTTTGAAGAAGGAGAAGAAACAATCACAGCCTTTGTAGAACCTTTTGTAATCTTACTCATATTAGTTGCTAATGCAATTGTGGGTGTGTGGCAGGTAAGCAGAGACATGCTCGGGAAAATTGAAAAGCCGTTGCATAATGTGTGCTGTTTCAATAGGTTGCTTTATGTTGCTTAGAGCCACCATTATCGTATTTATTAAGAAAGTTGAAAGCGGAGGCTAGCTCTGAAATTAGATTAAACCTTTTCCATTCTTAGAAAGTTGTAAAGATAAGACAGGATCCAAATAACCGTGCACTTAATTCAGTCCAGCAAGGAGACTTTGAACTTTTTAATGCTTAACCATCAGTTGTATCTTTCCTTAGTAAAGCAGTTGTGAGTTCTACTCTCTGCCACTCTCTAGAGCAGGACTCTAGAAGGTCATTAATAGAAATTAAGGTTGTGTGGATTGGATTATAGGTTAAATCTGTGGGAAACCGAAGAGCCACCAAACATTTTAATTTCTTTGGTGAATATTCTGTCTATCCAGTAAAACGACATCCTGTGCAATTTACCCAAGCCAATGCAGCCACCAAAATATATCCTCCTATTAGGGCACAGCCCATGTTTGCCTTCTGTTGCTACTCAGTTTTTCCATGAGAGGATATCAAAACAAGTTACCAGGGTAATGTATCAGAGCAGCATTTCTCAACCTTGGCAAGGGTAAGACATGTGGACTTCAATTCCCAGAATTCCCCAGCCTGCAGCCTGGGTTGACCTCTGCTTTCCCTTACATGAGGGCAGGTGGATGCGGCTTGCTGCCAACAGTAACTTGGGCTCTTGTTTTGTGGGACATAACAGTTCAGTCCTGTGGTTGAGTCCTTCCACTCGGTATACAGTACTGAATATTAATAGCTTGCTTCCTAGATGCGAGTGACATTTCTGGCATGAATATGCCCTATTTGTTCTCCCCTTTTTCATCTTGGTCGCATGAGAAAGCCATAATTTGCCCATAATTCATCTTTCATAGCAGGGTATTGTTGCCATAGGAACTGGAGGGTGCCATCTAAGGTGGCATGGGAGCACAACAGAGAGGAAGTTTTAAAATGATGAAAATAATAATTAAAAAAAAAATGAAGTCCAGTACTGCCCATTAAATTTAGAATTTAGAGGGATTTAATTTACAGTTGGTGCATTGGAATAGCTGAAAGTTGAAAGGCTTTCCAGTTATATGTACGTCTATTAAAAAAGACAAATTGTTGCCTTCCCCACCCCAGTAATAATATGAAAACAGCTTTTTAAAAGCAAGAAAAATTCTTGGAGCTGAGTGAAAAATTCTTCCGGCACTCAGATGAAAATGTAGCTGTTATGATAGAACAAATGCTATAAAAAGCTTTAATATTCACTAATCATCTGTCTGCTAATGTTGGTGACAGTTTAATGTTTCTTGCTTCTGAAAATGAACGGGGTGACTTAAAAAATGTATTTCTTAGCTTGAAAGGCAAGAGTTGTGATTACCCTCCTTAGTCTTTATCTCCTGTTTCAAGAGGTCTGTGACAAGCGAAATACCTGCGAACACACATTCCTTTTACATGGACATATTTCCCACTTAATTTGGGTTCCACATCTCCAAGTGCCACAGCAAAAAAACAAGGGCAGATGTTTCTCATTTGGCTGCTGGCCTTTTCACGACAAACTCATAATTTAGCAAGGTTTTAGCAGTAAGGTACAGTTGTATTGACTCCGAAGCCCCTGGGCTCTTTCTTAAAAAAAAAATCAAAATGTTCCTGAGGCATTGCAAAGGTTTTGGTTTAAAAATCCCAACCCTGCCACCGTGTTGTGTTGATAGCAGGCACTTTGTTAGCAAGTCAGGAGTGTGAAATGTGTTGAAGTTGTGGGAACAGTTGTCTCTCCCCCCCCTCCCCCTTGCTATTTTGGCCTCTCAATTGGAACAATGAACACACACTTCCCAAGAGGACCAAATGCTGCGCGGGGAGAGAAAGTATGAAGGAACTTAATTGCCCAGTTGTAACTCTTTGAGTTGTCAAATTTATCAGTTACCCATTTAGTCAAGAAGTACACTTTGGATCTGAGTTATTTTAAGAGAGATAAGAATCCGCAATTAAAAAGGATCCTGGCTGTTGGGTTATCTCCTTTTTGGCTTTGTGCACACCAAAAAATTGCGCATTTAGACTCTGCATTTGACAGTGAAATTTTGCAGGCTGCTCTTTTAGCTTAACTGCAGCAGCAATACGATGCCTCTGTTTCTACCAGCGGATGATCCTAGATTATTTATTAAATGGCAAACTTGGGTGGCTATCTATTTATCTATCTATCTATATCTATCTATCTATCTATCTATCTATCTATCTATCTATCTATCTATCTATCTATCTA